GTATCGAGGAACTGAAGGAGGGATACTTCAGCCCAATGTTCCGCGATCAACCCTTGTTCATTGGACTCGAATCTTCGTGAGTCTTTCTACCTCCGGGATACTGCTCGATGGTCTGGCTAATTTGCGTCCAATCCTAGTGTCATGGTAGTTGCAGTATTCTGCTTGGTCATCGGGAACCCTGCGATTGGCTTCAGCACGACCGGGGAGAGAAAAGAATCGACCGCGTCAGAAGCGTTCGATCACCTCCCATCGCGGCAGGATAGCATGCCTATGGAGATGAGCGGCAGAAAGGACACGCTGCCGGGCTCGATTAATGTATGAAGCAGATGACGCCTGCGAAGAGCATCCACTGTACTGTTTACTCACGAAGATACCACAACTTTCAACTTTGCCTTCCTGTTTGACTAATTCGATTCGAGCTATTCGTAATCTGACATAACGCTGGATCCTAAGCTCTTCAATCCTATTTCCATGACTGGAGACTCGATAGAAGCCCCCACAGAGTATTCCTGCATCATTTTGCGGTATATTTCGGCATCTGACATACCACAGTGACTCCCTTTTGGTGGGCTAAGGTACAATACATGGGATCTCTAGAAACACAATTCGGCAGCCTCTGCTCCTCAGCCAACTTTTTCTTCTAGTCTTTCTCGGATTGAATTTCTTGGAGGAAGCGTCTCGTCATCGATCGTATCAGACGTCCATCTTGTTGCTCGGGGCACTGGAACTCGGGGTCTGTGGAGTTCCATCCCCATCTTGGCTCGTTGTCGGCGCGACGTCCACCACAGGGAGGCCACATCTTGTGCATGAGGGTTCATTCGCAGATTCGCAAGCGCATCTTCTCGAGCTGTCAAACGATAAGCACTGGGCTTTCTGTAGAGGCTTTGGCACGGTCCACTTACAATCGCGTGATAGAGAGCGCATACCACAGGGCCATCAGAATCAGAGTCACTGCGGTGGTAATGCCGAACCAGATCAGAAAGACCGACGCTTCGGGATCCATCTTGAGTGATATAGTCTCGGTTGCTCGATGTTATGCTTGACTTTCTAGTTTGGGAGGTCTTGGGGTTACTGTGAGTGCGGCGCTGGTGTGCTCCTGTCTTCGAACTTCCTGACTCCGCTTTGATGGGTTGGGTGGTGGACTTTGAGAAATTCAGCGTCATCGATCGTGGGAAACTGCTTCTTATTAGACACAGGCTGCATCCAAAAAGGTGCCCTGATGTCTTAAAGTTCAAGCCTCATGGCTGATGACCTTGAGGATCTGCAGCCGCAGTGGCAGCACTGCTAGAACCCTCCTGGTTAATCAGAGCCTAACAGTGAAATTATAAAGATGCAGCGGCGACCATCTCGCTCTTTTCAAGTGTTTTCTGACAGACGTAATTTTTTACCAGGCCCACTAGATCATGAAAAGATAGAACGTCGGTGCAGACCAAGATCAGCATGTGCTGCGAAATTTATATAGCAGGATCAGTAAAATCTCAACTTTTCCAGGAGGAAACTTGAGGTATTATATCCGTCCTGCAAAGCACTGCGACGGCTCCAGGGCTAGTCGCTCTCAAAACCCCCCACACGTCACTCAAGACATTCGTCAAATATAGCGGGTCAAAGATGATATTGTGTTTGTCAATACCCATTCTTCATGAGAGCAATACTTGACATGTTCTATGATTCAGCATACTGTAGCTTGACGCTGACTCCATCTCTGGGAACCATGGTAAAGTGGATGTCCTTTCTCGGCTCGCCTGGCGGTCCAATCCACTCCATGCTCTTGAACCTTTGGATGAGCCTGACCAAGAAATATGCAGCCTCTGTGAGAGCGAATTGTTCTGAAGCAAGTTAGCATTCCCCTCACACTACTGAACGCAGAAATTGTCAGCGGATATGGGATGACTTACGTCCCAAGCAGATCCTCGGACCACCACTAAACGGAATATACTTCCAATCCAGTCGGACACCCCCCCATCGCTCCGGCTTGAACTCCATCGCATCCGCCCAGATATCCGCTCGTCGATGCAGAAGATACGGCACAAAGGTGACGGTCTGGCCCTTCTTGATCACGATGGGCGATAACCCATCAGCTCCGCCACCTCTTGGCAAGACCGTATCCCGTACCGCATACCGGCTGTTGAGCGGCACGACATTGTACACTCTTAACGTCTCCCGCATCACAAATTGAAGATATCGTGAAGACTTGAGCGTCGCAAAGTCGATACCCTCAGGTTTCTCAGAGTACTCCCCAAACTCCGCCACCACCTCTCCCCGAAGCTTCTCAAACACAGCCGGGTGCCGCGCAAGCATCAGCAGCACCCACGAGAGTAAAGATGCCGTGGTATCCCGACCCGCCAGAAGTATCCCTAGGATCTGGTCCCGCAGCTCCCCGCGGTCTCGCGTTTTTTCTACGAGGGTATCCAGCAAGATAAACTTGTCCGTCGACGGCTTCGCTCGCTTGAGAGCCAGCTGGACGTAGTGGTCGACGTATCGACGGATGTAGTCAATGGACTTAGTGCCCACGCTACTTGGTGCCAAGAAGTACAGCCCCTGCAGCCGGGCACGCAGAGCGATGTACATTTGCGCCTCGTGGAAGGCCGATGCGAAGGACATTTCACTTCCTGCCTGGTCAGCCGCCATAGCCGTCACCGCACTTGTCGATGTCGACATCTTGCCTAGAGCAGCGGCCGTTTGTGAATCGACCGTCTCGCCAAAGAGGAAGCCCGTTGCCGTGTCGAGGGTGAAGCGGAAGATCAAGGGCATGATATCAACAGACAGGGCGCCGTTGTCCGTCTTCTGACCAACGAATGGCAGGGCCCGGAACAGAGCTTGCACGGCACGTTCCGTACCTTCGAGGTCGTTGATGTTCTCACGCGAGAACTGCGATCGGAAGAGCGATCTTGAATGTTCCCACAGGGGACCATCGTGGGTGAAGATGTTGTTGCCCTCTAGCGGTTTGAATTGCGCGATTCTGCGCGGGCCGAGCTCAAAGTCTCGGAACTTCGTCGCAAGGATGGCCTGGATGTTGACTGGGTCGATAGTATTTACCTCGGCTGGGCCGAAGAGGCCTGTAGTGCTGAAGGTGTCACCGCACTTTTTGAACTTTTGGGCAATGACATCGTCGAGGATGTCGCCGCCGCTGCGCACCACCTTGACGGCGCGCCAGACATTGTCGATGCCGAAAGGGAGCTTTGAGGAAAAGTGCTTGGGAAAAGTCGCGCCGTTTGACTTGGCAAAGAGAAGAATGCGACGACGGGCGAGGAAAGTTGAGACGACGTAGTAGATCACGAATGCTGGAAGCGCGAATAGCACTACTGGCAAGGAGAGAAGCGCCATGATGGGAGTCTGTCTAGCGCCCAATATTGACAGATGAAAACTTCAGATGGCCCGTCGTACATCGTTTCAACGAGCCGGAACCCCACGAGATATATATCCCTCTCACGATGCCTGTCAAAATGGCGGCAAGGATTGGCACTAGTCGTGCAAGGAAGAGGTGGGTTTAATCCCCGTTATCGACCATGATCCGCACTGGCTTCCACTAAAACCCCAGCTCTCTGAAGTTTCCGAACTGACGAATCGTAGCACTCGCTACTGCGATTACCCGGCGCGGAGATCGTGGGCAATAAGAAGTCCGTCTCTACCCCATTGTTATACCATTCAAATATGCTTTCGTTCTCGTTTTCGCGATTCTACAGGTTGTAGTACTGATGGAGACACATGAATGCCAAGGGAGGAACAATCGTTGGCCTTGTGTTTGTGTTGTATCGACCGACGACAACCTGGACAAACTTCATCTGCAGGAAAAGCATATGCCCCACCAAATGTTGTTTGCTTGACTGATCATGGTTGGAGTTCATAGCTTTGGTGCCCGAAGTGATATCATGCCTCGGTCGGCGAAGCTCAAAATTGCGACAACCTTTTCGGCGCCGGGATTTGAGATGCTGGCGCACGTCTTGGTTCGGACTCCAAAGGCCTAGAGCTCGGACTGCGTGGGGTAGTGGTCTAGATTTATGGAGCCCCCCGAAGTACACTAGATTCGTGATGTTGATTCATCATGGTCCACACGAGATGCGAAACATGACTCGATGTTGAAAGAGATGTCCGTCTGCTGAAGTTACGTCTATGTGCAGTTGACCCAATATCTGGACTGAACGATTCCTCAACATCGAGACGAAATAAGGTTCTGACCATCAAGTCCCAGGAAGGGTAGCATTTAGCGGCGTAGCATCGCTTCAGTGTTCGCGCGCTACGACTCCGAGCAAAATCACTCTTATTATGTTTTATGCGAATTGTAGAGGTCAAACGTCTATCCGGTGCACCATGCGTGACAACTTTGTATTCATGTGCCAGATCTCAAGAAAAACTTCTATGCGCAGCGTATGGCTTGCTATTTACCTATTTTCATTTGCATCTATCGGTCATTCGTTTGTAATGCAAAGCCCCCCTGGTCAAGCAGTTGAATCTCTTTATGTCATAGTTCTTCAATCATTGCATGGAAACTCGGTCTGCACATGGCTGCTTGTGCCGGTTGTATTTAGACAGTCATCTCACACAAGCAACGCGCTAACAGATGAGGAGCTGATGGCATAGGCTATCAAGACCGACATTTATGACTGGAGCTCATCCCCATCCAATGACGCTCCCTAGTTAAGTAATTCTAAAGGACCACTGATATGTATACTGTGAGAGTTGATAATTTAGAACTTTGTCGTTTGATACTGGTCGTCGGCACCGTGGCCACTGGCGAGGAAGAAAGCGATGAACAAGCTAGTAATTTGCCAGCTGCAAGAATTGAACACCGGCACGAGTCACTTTCCATTTCAATGGTAACTCTGGCGCTCTAACCGGGTCTCAACTTTAGATACATGCAGTAGAAGCAGCTCGGTCTTGTGCAAGCAGCATATGTACAACACCCCATGCACTATCATCGAAGGCGAGCACCTGGTATCTTGCCACCTATTGTATTCCTTTCCTGCTTCATGTAGCCGTAACTCGCTAGCTTTTGTTTGGTGCTAACTTGGTGGCTGAGAACGGAATTGCTTGTCGAAATGAGCCAGAGCCTGGGCCATTTTATTTCGATGATAGGCCTTGCTTGTTTCCGCGCTGGTGCCATTGTTGTGGATGTGATGCATGTTACTGTGGCTGGTAGATTTCGTGTAGTCGGCAATTCGTTGCTTGGAGAGGGTGTGGTTCATGTCCGTGTTTGACCGCGCCTGCATGGGTTCGGCAAAGATACTCCTGAGGCCGTCACTGTCAGCTGACCACGACCAACTGTTACTCCACCGAAACCTTTCCCCCAACTGGAATGGGGAGAGGTACCCGTTACGGATGTTATCCTTGGAACTCATTTTGTATAGATTGCTGCCCGTCTTGGCAAGTAGATGTCTGCGACTGAGCAAAATCGCTGCAGGATTGGAAGTTGAGGCAAACGGGACGAGGTGTTGGAATCTTGGTGTACTTAGTGTCCCAGGGGAAACTATTGCGCCGGTGGCCTTCTGAGTACCGTGATAACATTATGGCATCAACAAGTTAACGATTCAAATCTATTTTATACTGTTTTGCCTGGCGAACCAGGCACATTCAACCGAGAAGTATTACAGCCTGCCATGTTTGCTTCTGTCAAGGAACTCCGAGTCTAGACGAACAGCTTGCATCCTTTGGCAGCCCTTTGGCCTAAAGCTGAGAAACTCCTGCTTAATTCACTGGCAAATTGTCCAGGCGTAGGTCAACGAGGCGTCGACATGCAGACTGTAGATGCCAAGGGTGGGTAGCAGTCGTGATGAATCGAGTGGTGGGGTGGTCCCAATCGAGCCGTTGGACTTGTTTCTCGCTAAGAAGATACGCTCGATAGAAGCATTTCAGAACGTCAGACGACATGTGCAGATCCAGCCTGCCTTGACGGTAGCCAGCGTGTACACGGTTAGCGTAGCATGCGTCGCCGTAAGTCAATCCCTACCTCATGTTGGTATGAATATGAGGAGATAGATCGACTATGAGTGACTGTCGTGGTGGAGATATCTTGTTATCATTGACTGTCATGCTCTGTGCACTTGCACGATCGATTACATGCCTCACAATGAAGACACAGCCTGACATGATCTCGCGGAATGACGGTACACAGAAACACTGAGTATAACAATCCGTCATAAAACAAACATGCGTGAAAGAGAGAAAGGCGGAGAGAAAGAGAGAGGTGGAGGGAGCTCTAGGTCCGGGTCCCCGGTAGATGAACGGGCTCCGGCATCGTGCTAATGATATCCTCCGACCGGAGCAGCGAACTTCCGGCTTCGGAAGCCGAGTGCTCAGGGCCGGGTAAACGACTCACTTAGCTCCCAGCTTGAACTTCCCCGAAATCAGTTACCAAAAAATCAACGGTACTTGATCTCGAATTGACTGGCCAAAATTTGAACATGACACTCGTCAGCAATTCCATTCCGTTGACGCCGCACAGCAAGGACGTGAGAATATTGCATATCCAGCTGACGCGAAGTTATCGGGGTGTATAGGGCTACACCTAGTCGACTCGACACTGGAGTTGAACGCCTTGCTTTGGGATGAATCTATTCGAGAATTCGGGATTAAGCCGGCAATGTTCTTCCGGGAGGCTCTCAAGCGATGCTGATTCGCTGGTTCGCCTACCTGGCCGTTTTCCATTCCGAGAGCATGGCAAATCTCGGTGTCAATCAGCGGGCGCAGGTGCAGGTAGAGGTTGTCGACGTGGCCCAATCGAAAACTCCATGAGAATCAGCTGATATGCGTCACCGATTCTGCCTGAAAATAGCGCGAGGCATCCAATGCGCAGGTGGGCGCCTCGTGAGGGGTTGGGACGCCTCATTCTTGCCTGATTTCAGGCATCGTTGGGTCGCAAAATGCTCCCCAAGTTCGCGGTTGCCTGGCTGTCGTAGATGGGGTTCGCGGATATCGGTGTTGGCTGCCGAGCCCGTCTCCTTTGCGGCTGATGGGGGCCAAGAGCAGCTGTCTGTGATTCTTCGGTGCCGTAATTCGCGCTCTTTGACGACTTTGTTGAGGACTGTGCCGTGTCTGTTGCGCGTATAATATAACGATCAGAGTCTAATTTCCACGGTCGTGGACAAATTCGTGTGAAGAAGTCGATCGGGAGATGTTGACTTTTCTCGATAGTCACTTGAGTAAGGAATCATTCTCGTTATCAAATCGCGGAGCATCGGGTTGAGGAGCGATTGAAAGCGTCCGCCGGGAGGAATATCGTCCGCTCTGATGCGTAGAGAGCTAGAAACTGGATGGAATGGACGTCGAAAGGAAGTTGAGGGATGAAGAAGGGACCGATATAAAACCTTGGAGGATTCGATAGAGTAAATCGAACTGACTTAGCTCAGGGAATTGAGGTAATGTGTATGTAGCAAGCAAGGGGTAAGACATCTTATATGGATCTTTCGGCCGTACAATTTTGGGGGCCAAGAATAACCCTCTGCAGACTTGGGGGCCAAAACTTGGACCATCCTTGTGCCACCATAATCTGGATATGGCGGATCGGCTGACGGCGAACACACCAGCACACCCTTTTCTCTACACCCCCTGCCTGCCACATGTCTCATCCAATCATCGAGGTGATGTATTCACCACATGGAGTCCTCAAAGGTGCCGCCCTATTTCCGCACACATGACTATCACACATGCAGCTGGGCTTGAAGCGTCGGCGAATCCCGACGCTGGGGTCTGCGCAGGCAGGGTATATAACCGGTTGGGGGGCCATTCGGGAGAGCGAAGCTGCATTTGGGGGCGGTGTGGGAGGACAAGGCTAGAGAGGAAACGTGAGTGCACCGCGAACACCGTCCAAGAGTTCACGCTGACCCTGAGTCTCCACGGCATAGACTCTTCGCGATGAGTGTGAGTCTTCAACTCGAAGGGAGACACAGACTCACTGAGTATCAGCACGTAGTACTCACCCTTGCTTATTGGGTGGAGGAGCCTGGCACGGAGTGTTTTATGTGAGAGACTTCCGACGGTGAGCCTTGTCTTGTGAAGAGCGAGAGGTGTCTGTTATGGTCTCGAGATCCTGGCATCTTTGCTGCAGCTAGAAGTAAAGACGAGCGTGCAACTGAGGCGTTCATTATGCGATGCTCACGATTCCATCCTAACCCTAAGAATCTAGGCTTCATTATGAAACTCATGGCTTTTTTGTCAAATCTTGTGACACTGACTCTAGACCGATTCTTAATCAATCGCGACCAAAGTTACCGACCGAGGTTATTGACAACGCTGCCTACCATGACAGCGACCTCTCGATCCCAATTGCCTTCCCCTCTTCCCTTGCCCTTGAGCGCACTCGGCATCTGGCACCCCCTCACAACACACTCCCTCACGGCATCCCCAACGCTTGCTCTATTGGACCGCAGTGTACGTGCAGACACTCCACCCCGGTTGACGATCTCTTGTACCCTTGTGCCCAAGTTCCCAGCCATCGTCCGCCAGAAGTAGCTCGGCAAACTGCCCGTCTCGAGGTACGCCAGTAGAGGCTGCAGCATATTCGTCTGTTTCTGCGGCGCCGACACAAGCGGATGCGCTGGTAGCTTCGTAGACTCTAGTACGAGCTCGAGGGCGACGATGTTCTGGCATCGCGCCGAAATCTCGGCGAGGGTGCGCTCGAGGGAGGGAAGTTGGCCTAGCGACCGCGAGAGCGAGGCGATGGATGACTGTAGCGCCGAGCGGAAGTATGTCTCCAGGCTCTGCAGGAGTAGCTGCGGCGTCCATCGTTCCGTCTTTTGCGTTGGTGACGGGGAGAGCAGGAAGAGCGTAACCATGGCAGATACTGTCCTCGCCTTGACTTCCTCGCCCTGCGCAAAGGTAGCCGAGTTGGGAATCGCAAAGTCGCGAATAATCTTCTCTGCCGTCTCCTTGACAGACCGCTCAACCGGGGTGATTATAGACTCTCGAAGAGTACGAATTGCGTCGACCTTGCCCAGACCGTAACCTTCCTCCCCAGGCGCTGTGTTGTCAAGCACCTCTCGTAGCGACAAGATGGTGTGCGAGCATCGTACCAGCGCCCGGTGATCCTCCTTCTTCCCAGCAGCGGCAGCGGCAGCGCTGACGCTAGACCCCGCGATCTCAGAGTGCTGGACCTCAAGCTGCCTCCCAAGCTGCAGACATCGTCCTACCGAGCGGCCAAGCTTCAGCGTCTCCCATAGCCTCGTAGCAACCTGCCGCACTTCCTCAGCCTCGGCATGCTTGTCAATGACCTCCTTCTCGAGCTGCTTGTAGCTGTCGTTGAGATTCTTGATCTGGGCGTCGAGCTCTGAAATAATGCGCTTGCTCGAGGTAGTTTGCTCTTTCGTGTATTGAAGTAGAGGGGCAGCGGACTTTGTCGTCAGGACATCGATGTGGGAGTCAATCTCCTGAGTATCGAAAAGCACGCGGGACAGAGGAGTCGAGAGATCGAGGGGCGCATCGTTGGGGTTGTTCGTTGCGAGGACGAGGGTGTTTGCGAAGGAGGAGGGGCTAAACTCGGGATCGAGGAAGGCTTCGTAGTCGATGTAGGAGGGGTCCTCTTCTTCGCGGGTCGTCATGATGGGCAGATGTGAGCCATTGACTGTCGTGGAGTCAATGTGTGTTGGCGAGTCTGTGTTGTGGCCCTGGAGGGATTGGCCGTGAGAGCTTGGAGGGGGTAGCTCTTGGAATTGTTGATTGAGATGCTCAAGCTCCAGCTGTCATGTCTCGGTCGAGGGCGGTACGTACTGGCTGGTCAAGGCCCACCTTACATAAGTCAAGAGCATCAGCCACAGTAAAGGTCAGCCACACTTGCTAGGCCTCTGCCGCCCCGCAATTTGTTTCTTCCAGCCACAAATTTAAACTCGCCATTTTCTCTTGCATTCACCGATGACGCCGTGTACACAAACTTCATTATACGCGGATGGCTTCGGTCGAAAAGCATTTTCTTCCAGACCAGATGTTGCGCGATAAACAGCAACTGCCGTCTTGCAGCCTGAAAGATGAATTCTCGCTGGATCCCCAGCAAGTGATCACTCTATCAAAATCTCATGATCAAGCCAGTTGCACTGCTCACTCACCTGTTTTCCTCTAGATCCCGGAGCTTCGGCATCTCCACTGACGATCCCAAAAGAGGGAAAAACAAAAAACACAAACCCGCCGCTCCCGGCCATTCCGTCTGGCTCCTCTCGGTTTCCCATCTTTTCCCGCCGCCGCCCGAACTCTTCCCCATTCCCACACCAAGCACCACTGCAGT